GCCCCCTGCCGTGGGGAGGGGGAGGGGAGCAGGCTGCCACCCTGAAGCTCCACCCCTTTTCTCTGCTCCCCGCCCCCCGTCCAGCTTCCTCCACCAGGTCCTGCCCTGCACATCCAGCCAGCGGCCCCCCCGCAAAGAAACTCCCATCAAGACCCGCAGCACCCCGGAGAGCACGCTGGTCCTGGAGCTGGTGAGCTGTGGGGAGGGGGGGGATCAGGCCCCTCCTAGTGCAACCAAATCCCCGCTGTGGGCCTGGTGCCACTGCCTGGGGCTGACGTGGAGGGGGGGCTGAGGGGGGAGAGGGTCATCTGTGATGAGGATGTGACAGCGAGTCGGGGCAGGTGGCTGGAGGCTGAGAGGCGCCATCCTGGAGGCAGAGGGGCAGACCCCCCAGGTAAGAGTGGGCCCCCCAAAAGAGGGTTGCCGCCTGGAGTGGACCCCCTGGGAAAGGGCTGTCACACTGCTGCCGGACTGGAGTGGGAACCCCAAGACGGGGCTGCCGCACCGAAGAAGGGGTCCTGCCCGAGGACAGACAGGCCAAGCGTGGCTTTGTCTTTCTCTGAGTGGTGCACATCCGCACATGCCTCAGTGCACAAAATTTATTCCGCACATAAGTGGGAACATCTGCAGGTGGATGGAAAAGATTAGAGGGACCTAATGCACGATCCCCAGGGTCATGCAGACTCCGCAGCCGGTAGAACGGGGGGGTTATTGCTCCTCCAGGATACAGCCCAGCACGGACGTGATGTGGCTACAGGAGTCAGGGCCAGGATGCCTCAGACCCGTGGATTAGGGGGTCCATTGCCCCCCCAGACTCTCAGCACTCAGCTTAGGCTGTTTCCTTCATGCTTCCCAGCCAGCAGCTGCCTCGCTCCCAGATCCTGCCCCCAAGCCAGGTGTTCGTCTCCACCTGCCTCCCTTTGTCTCTCCCCCGGGAAGAGCTTTGCTAACTGCCCAGGCTGGTCCTAGGTGTCTGGGCCAATCCACGTGTGGGTGAGTCTGTGGGAATCACCTCACAGCGCAGGGGACCCCGGGTCGCAGAGCAGACAGCCCCCCCACTACGTCACAGGCTGCTAAGGCGGCTCCTTCCTCCCTGCTCGCAGGAGGGGACCCTGGTCTGCAGCTCCCTGATGCCCAGCCACGATGCCGATTGCACCTTCCTCACGTCCTTCCAGGGGGACGTGTATCGGGTAAGTGTCCGGCGCGGCCCCCAAGCCTGCCTGGGTGCAATTGGGGGGAGGGGGCTGACGGCCGTTGGCAGTGCAACTGGGGGGATCGGCCCGTTCCTCGACACACCTCTGATCCGCCCGCTACAGGGGATCCAGAGCCACTGTGTTAGCCTGGCTTCCCTGTTTGCCCTTCCCCCAGCCCAGTGTGCCCTGTAAGCTGGGCACTTGGGCAGCTGCTGCAGAGAAATTTCAGTGCTGCCCTGCTGACTGGCAGAGCGCTCGCAGCTAGATTTGTGGATCTCCTGGTGGTGCACATTCTCACACAACTTGGTGCACAGGACAAAATTTATTCTGCACACAGATGAATGGAAAAAACCCACCTATGTATGGAAAAGGTTAGAGGGAACACTGCCCTCCTGTGCCAACCACAGTCCCAGGCAGTGTGTGTGTGTGTGTGTGTGGGGGGGGGAATTCCCAGCTAGCCCTGTGGGAGGCCTGCTGAGGACCCACATCCAAACCGGCCTATCTGTGGGTAGCCCCAGCCCCTGCACCAGGCTGGGA